AATATTTTAACTATATTTTTTTTTTTTTTTTTTTTTTGAAGCATGGTGGTAATGTCAATGCCGTCGATAATAACAAGCAAACAGCATTGCACTGGGCAGCCGTTAGGGGTTCAATTGCTGTGGCAGACATGCTCTTGCAGAATGGAGCTCGAGTTGAGGCAACTGACATAAATGGCTATAGAGTAAATATTCTACTTTTATTGTTTTCTTTATTGATGTTGACTTTTAATTTTGAGAAGTAATGATGTTTCATTTGAAGAATTGAACCAATCTTTATTTCTGTTCTCTTGTAAATGGAATTGATATCTATTAGGGATTCATTTTTATGTGGCATGAGTTGAGAAGAACATGTTTTTGTATGATAAGATCACTACACGGTTTAAAATGGTTACACTGCAGGTCTTGCATCTTGTCTAAGCTATTGAACTCTTTTAGTTGACATTCCAGAAAGTATTTATTAAATCTTCTGGAAGATATTTACTTTTATAAATTCTCGGGTGATTACGTGAAACCCCCATTTTCTACTGCAGGCAGTTCATGTTGCTGCACAATATGGACAAACAGCTTTCATAAATTACCTTGTTGTAAAGTATCATGCTGATTATGAAGCAACAGATAATGATGGAAGGAGTCCTCTTCATTGGTATGTTGTTATAGATAGCCAGTTGATGCTTAGAATTCTGCTCTAACATAAGTTTTTGGGCTTGTAGAAACTGGAAAGTGACACATACGTTTTTAGCTGCATTGATTGGGCAGTTGTTTTTAGGCATAATAAAAGAGGTTAAGAGCATTGAGAATTCCAAAGCGTAATATAATCTGATGGTCAAATTATAAGATGGACACTGTTGGTTATTATTTTAATTTTCTAGTACTATTTGGTCTAAAGGCCAATTTCTTTTTTTGACACTTAGTAGTTAGATTATAATGTCTCATTTAGTAGTCTTAGAAATAAGGAATACTGATTATTGGGTTGCTCATTTAGAAATTTTGTTTTAATTGTTGAAACAGGGCTGCATATAAAGGATATTCAGATACAGTTAGATTGCTTCTATTTAGAGATGCATCCCAAGGGAGACAAGACAACAATGGTATGCTAGGAGGCATATTGGTATCCTATAGTTGTGTATGAAGAAAGTTCATCACATTCCTTAAATATGACATGGTCCCATGGAACACTAAAATATTGGTTGTGGGAATCTCTTTTCTTGTGAATTGTAGACCTAAAACACCAAATACAATTGCTTTTAGGAACTCTCTCATTGTCAAATTTCACCATTGTCTTCATCGCTGTGTCAAAGTGTAAAAGAATTATTCCCTAATTTCAATAAAATTTTTAGATAGGTTCTCCATTAGATATGTTTTAAGTTATTTAACTTCGGGTAGTTTAGAAAAAGGGTTTGATCTCACCTTCCTTGATAAGAACCATACAAGTAAAGAAAATATTCTTATTCTTGGACTCTCTTTATCATTAATAAAGATTTGTGCAGCTGGGAGCCAGGATGTTACAGATATTATCAAGTTGTTGCATCAAAACATCTAATTGTTGACTAATAAAATTGGACTCTGGCAATCTGGCCAACGCTGAGTTTGGATGACATTGTTAAATAATTGAAGAGTAGCTGGCTTATATTGTTTACTCCAATTATTTTCCATTTTGTTCACATTGAGTATCCCATGCTACCAGGTTGTACTCCATTGCATTGGGCTATAATAGGAGGAAATGCAGAGGCCTGCACTGTACTCGTGCACGCAGGCACAAAGCAGGAACTAATGATGAAAGATAAAGCTGGATTTACTCCTGTTCAGCTTGCATCTGACAGAGGTCATCAACGAATCACTAATTTCCTTGTATGTGATTTTGTGTAGGTGTTGCCCTTGCTAGCATACTCTTGTTTAACTTTTTGACCGAGTAAATAATATAAATACTTTTACTAGCATCATGTTGATTGATTATCTAGTGGTTTAATCATCAGTGCTGGTGGGTATTCAATTTTTATACATTAATGTATGTTTGTCTTGATTTTTTCAGTCAAATGCCCAGCGGGCAAATAGCAAACGCTTGGTTGACAAACTTTGCAGTGGGAATATGGGGAGAACTGGCTATGCTCCTATATTGTTTTCTGTTATAATATTTGAAACCATGCTCTTCATCAACTCAGTTCTCACTGGTTAGTAGACTATGTTATTAAATTGGTTATAGGTTTATTTATCTTTCTCTGTTAATCAAGTCTGCCATTTTGTTATCATGCAGCTTCAAATCTTACAAAGGTAACTGCCATTGTTGGACTGTGGGGTTGGATTGGTGTTTCCCTGGCCATTTGTTCACTGATAATGCTCTACAAGTGCAGTCGGTAATCCCTTGCATATGCACTGATATCAGTCAATTGAATTGACATGGCTTCTTTCCCCAATCAAGAACATATGCCACAGCACACATCTATTGATAAACTGAAGTTTATATCTTTATTTAATGCTCTTCTAATGCTTGAATGAAAATTGAAAATTTTTATCATACAAATGGAATCATGTAACTACACTATTGAGGCCAAAAAAAAAAAAAAATGTAATTACACTATTAATTCAGTATTGTTTTGTGTTCTTTTATTTTTCTTCCTGAGACTATTCTAAGTGATTAGCTGATTTTAACTATTCTTTTATCTTTGATTTCAGTTTCTCTAGGTAAATAGTTCTCATTATTTTCTTGGACTTGGGGGAAATACAGGGATTCTCATCATTTATTTCTTTTCTTCTTTAACAATTTTCTGCAGAAAAGATCCAGGTTATCTTAAAAGACCTGGCGGATTGAGCACACATGACAATACAGAGGTATGAACAATTTTGTTTTGAATGGTTATGTAACAACCCTTACCTGGAATGCCAATTTTCTCAAAGTCAAAGAGGTGGGCAGTAATTATACTTGTTTTGGTCAGACCTACTAAATTTACAATTGGCAGGATCCTTTGTTGAATATTGATGTCCACAATCGCTCAGTATGGATGGGAAATTGGTCTCAACTTTGCCCTACTTGCAAGGTTGCCTACTTAGCCCTCTGATATGTGTTTATTTATTTGTTTCTTTATACACATTTTCTCAGGTTTGAGATGTTGAACTGATTGAAATTTGGCATTTTTTTAGATAATAAGACCTGTTCGCTCTAAGCACTGCCCTGTTTGTAAGCACTGTGTGGAACAGTTTGACCATCATTGCCCTTGGATATCTAA